GGGACTGCGTGTGTGGGGGGGGGGCACACTCAAGCATGTGGTAGTTGACTGCACTCACTGTTGTCGGGTGGCAGGGGTGATGTTTTAAAATATGGAACGAGTCCAAAAAATGTCATTTGATTTCTTTTATTTTTGCTTGCGTTCCGATTTTTGCCTGGGCAAGAGACATTTGTGTGTATGTGGGTGTGTGTGGGTGGGGGCGGAAGGGGTGTTGATACGTATCTTTCATCCATTTTGGTTGATTAGCGCAGAGGCGCACGCAAGGAGGGCAGGGTGCTCGCCGCGCTAGCGGTTGGCTGCGTCCTGATGTTTAATCCCGCCTTGAGTCTCTTACTTGCTCCATCTTGGCAGTGCTCAGTTTCAGCCTGTCGCAGAGAAATCAAAACCAAAAATAGGTATGCATCGTAAACATACGACCTTTCGCACCGCCTTTCATACCACACAGCTTGCACTATGATGCATACACACCTCTGGGCGGACTACGATACGTGCGCTATCCCTTACTTGGTGTACTAGCCATGCTGCTACATATTCTGCTTTTTGTACTCGCATATAAATGACTAAATGAAGACGTAATATACTATGCAGACTACTATTGGACATACTGCGATCGATATGGCGAAAGCTATCGCTGTGCATATTTACAAGATGGACAGTACGAAACTGACCGCTATGAATACAATATGTATGCATGAAATAAGATAAAATAACCTTTATTTGTCCCACACTGGGGAAATTTGCAGTCTACAGCAGCAAAATTCGGGGGGAAAGAAAAAAAAATGGATGTATGTGTCGGATATGTGCTATGGTAGACTGTAATGTACTATTCTAGTTCATACTCCTATTCACACAATATAAATCCAAATGTATTGTACAATGTTAACTAGTTTTAGCATTAGCACGCGAACAAGGAGCAAGTAGGTGACCTCAACGTGAAACACCGAAACGTATGTATGGCCGACACGCGCGCTCCGTTTGTGTCGCTATCAACGGGACATGGAGTGCACGTGCGCCCGCACTCGCGCGCTCGCCGTGCGATTCACCTCTACCCAAGCGTAGGGAGAAAGAGGGCCCAAAAGACGCGACTCCCGATCCCCTTCAGTTCCTCTTCCTCTGCTCTTCCCTCCTCTCATCCTCTTCTTCCTCTCGCCATAGCAACCAACCACACGCTCATCACCACGGCGACAAACAACAACAATAACCTTTGTGTGTGTTTGTTTCCCCTCTTTCCTTCCCTTGTGTGCCTTTGCGTTGCGTTCTTCCTCACCTCTTTTGTCAATACCCCTTTCATCCTTTTGATTTACACCCTCTGGCATCGTTTGTTCTTGTCTGTCGGGGTGATTGTATGTGCGTCCGCGTGTGTGTGCGTCTGTGTGTGTAGCGGCCGGATCACTTACACAGACATGTATCAGATGCTAAGACACATGTGTCCGCCGCTAGGCCTCGGGAAGAGGTGCCCCGCCCGGGTCGCCTATAAGGTAGACTGGCCCCCGCCCCATTTGTCCCTCCCTTACGTCCTTCCACTTCCTGTCCTCCCTTCTGTGGTTAGTGGTTGTGGTGGTGGTGGTGGTGATGGTGGTGCGCGCTGTCCTCTGTTGCCGAGGGATCGGAGGGCGCCGGCCGCGGCTTCTGTGGTTGCAGTGACGTGTGCCGGTGGACTCCTTGGAGATATATTTCTATATATTTTTTGTTTTTTTTTCGCGGGGGAGAGGTGGGGGGGACTTTCTTTTACTTTGATGTGGAGCCCCAGACATAACACGGGGAGGAAAATTTGAATTGTGGGCAGAATATAGATCACATGCGCATTAAAATGCTAATTGGTGCCCACAAATTGCTCAACTGTGGCCGTGAAAGACTCATTTGTGCCTTTGGGTTGTAGTCGAGATCATGTCTGCACAAAATTGCTCGTGTGCTTATCTTGGAGGTCTGTGAGAAATAGTTGGTGTGGCCATCGGTGAACCCAAAAATTCAAGGCAACAAATTTTGAGAAAATGTAAAGATGAGCAATTCAACAAAATATTTAAAGTTTTGAAAATGTTTGTGATTTTTTTTTTCCCGCCCCTACATTTCACAACACAGAAATAAGAGTTTAGAGAACCAATTGGCCCTTGTATTGCCCCTCCCGTCCCTAATTTAAAGAGTGTAAAAACAACTCTTCAAATCGTTTTGGAGCAACAATTTTATTTTTTGTTGTTGTACTAACTAGCATTGCTGCCATGAATGTCAACTGTTTATATATCCAACTTCAGTTCTTGTTTGAGCCCCCCAAAAAAATCCACATTTAAATTTTTTTTTTAACAGCAGTGTCCCAACTTTAACAATCGATGCTGTCGTTATAGGCACCGATTGATGTTGCGCCTGACTGCAAATAACGGGAGGCTTGGTCAATTATGCTATTGGGCTAACAAAATGAATCTTGAATAATATCACATACATCACTTTCTCTTTCAAAAGAGGGTCCACGCATCCTAAGACTACTTCCTGGTCACAGTTTAGCATTTCATGCGCATTCGATTCCTCATTGGTGGCCACAATTGAATTCTTTCTTTCCCCGTGTCATGTCCGTAGCTCCGTAGTTTTTTTTTTTGTTTGTTTGTTTGTTTGTTTGTTTTCTTTCTCAAGTGTCACCTGCCGGCCTTGCCGTCAAGCCGCAGGAGCGAGGGAACAGAGAACGGGAGCTTTGCCTGTCCATCTGCAACCTGCACGGACGCAAACACAACCCCACGCGTGTACACATAACCCCGCACGCACCCCCACACGATTGAGTGACCAGTGGCGATTTCAAGTTTCCACGACAACAACACTCGATGCTGACGATGCGGGTACAGAAGGAGCGGCAAAGGGCGCCTGGCTTCAGCCCTCTGGCTCTCTGGTTCCTGTGGATGGCGCTAACACTCCCCCACCTCCCTCTCTCTCTCTCTCTCTCTCTCTCTCTCTCTCTCACTCACACTCACACACACACACACACACTCACACACAGAGTTGAGACACACACAGCTGACAAATAGCTAACCCAGGGTTTCACCTAATTTCTTAGCATACTCTGTCCATCGGTCCTCCCTTCTCGAATTTTTTCATCTTTCCCGTGATGTCCAGTAAGCCGGCCACGGACGGCGTTTAGATTTTATGGAGAGAGGGTAATTTTTTTTTTTTTTTAGGTGCTTTGAAATTGCTGCCTGTGGTTCTGGGACTATCATCAGACTTGTCAGAAAGCCTTGGCTTGTTTCACAGTTTGACTTCAGTGTCGTTCAGTCTTGTCTTGTTCTGTCCTTTTTTTTTTTTTTTTCCTTTACTCGTGACATGCGCTCACACACACACACACACCCACACACACACACACACACACACACACACACACACACACACACACACACACACACACACTTTCTTCCCTTCTATTTTTTTGTGTGTGTCGTCACACTGCTCTTGGTCATCTTCACCTTCTGTCCCCCCCCCCTTTTTTTTTCTTATAAGTACATCTCATGACCCCTCCTTCCTCTTGCCCTGTAGCGCCACCACTTGACAACAATTCCTTATTTTTTCAGTGACTTTCATAATATTACTTTTTTAACTCCCCCCTACAAAAAGTTATTTGTAGTCGTAAGATTAAAAAAAAAAAAGTTGCAGGCAAAAAATATTTAAATAAATTCTCAGAAAAAAAATGGCCATTTTTATATAGCTATTTAAAAAAATATATAAAACGGTATATAATCTTGATGTTATGTGAAAACGTCTCAAACATATAAAACTGTTTGGTTTTGTTTTTTTTTTTCTGGAACAACTACTTTTTTCCACACCCCCCCCCAAAAAAAAAACCTTTTCTCAGAAATACAATTCTTTATCGAGAAAATAGACAAATGTAGCCTGAGTAATATATTACTTTTTCTCAAAAAATATACCTTTTTGTTGTTCCTAGAACAAAATATAGCTTTATCCCCCCCCCCAAAAAAAATGTTATTTTGTTGGAAAAAAATACTGCTTTTCATCGAGCAAGTTTTCAGTGTTATATCTCAAATAGAAATCAAATATGTAAGTTAATGTAATTTTTGCCTACAAAATAGTATTATGATTTGTAATGTCAAAATAACTAATTAAAAAATTAGTTCCTAAAAAATAATTCTAGAAAAATACACGTTTAGCACTTTGTTGATATTTTTTTTTTTTATGATCCAGCAAATTTTAAGATGGTAGCGTTTCAATTTTTTCTGTGGAAAAGAGGCCGTTATTTTCTTTCTTTATAACTCGCTAACACAAATTTAGAAATGATTACTTTTGATCTTGAAATGACTTTCGTGATAGAATTTTTCGAGGAAATGCGGAATGTTCTTCTCAGACGACTGCGACTTTCCAACAACAACAACAAAAAAAAGACTTTTGGTCGAGAGAACACTGACTTTATTCTTGTAAGAATGCGTTTTTTTTTTCTAGAAAACGGAGAATGTTATTCCCGTAAAAATATGATCGTCAATCTTGGAGAAACGACTTCAGTCCCGTGAAATTCCAACTGTTCTGGTAGCATTTTTGTTTCTTTCCAGTGTGGCCTGAACTGTGCTCCTCATGTAACGGTTGCCACGGCGATTCAATGAATGGGGCCTTGGAGGGCGAAAATGAAAAGCACAAAGACCATCAAGTCATCTCTATGATTTTCTTTTGTTTTGGTCCGTCTTCTTAATAGGATGTAACACAACACTAATGGTTTTTTTTTTCTTCTTACTGACACCCGACTTTTTTGAGACATGTGCAGCCGTCTGCTGGCATTGAGAGAAACTTTGACCTCCCGGCCAATCGGATCTAGGAAAACTAAAATTGGATTTAAAAATAAATAAATAAAATCAATCCAAGGGAATAGGATGAATCATTTTTGAATTGCGGAAACTCTCTTTGCGCGGGTGCACGGCTGCTTGTTGTGTACGTGGAATGGGGACTTTTGCATGCCGTGTGTCGGGTGGTCCACCAGGGGGTGTTGCATGCACGCTCGATGTTGGCCGATGCCCGCCGCCATCTTGCCCTGGAGCATGTCCACACAAAAAAAAAAAACAACCGTCATCGTGCTTGCCGCCGTGCGTGCCCAACGCTCATGTTCGGAGGTAAACCCGATGGACGCCGACCGCTCCCGATAGCAACCGACCGCAAGCACCCCCCCCCCCACCCTCCCTCCAAACCCGCTCCTCGGATGGCTTGCGGGGTTCTATCCAATGGTTCATCCATCGGATTTACCTAAAATATGCAGGGAACCTCCTGACTGGTAGGGGGAGCTCTATAGAACATACCAGAGTTACAACAACAACAGAAAAAGCTGTCTCCTGAACAAAAGCACCAGTGATAACGTTTTTGTTTGGGTTTTTTTTTAAACCACAATTAAGCTTCAACTTAATTGAAGTCTGTGCAGATTATTGTGTGTAAGTGTATTTTTGTTTTACATCTATTGTATACTTTCTCTCTTGGTGTGGCACCGCATAGATGTGTGAATGCGCTGGCACATTCACACATTTAGGGAACATGGGCACAGGTTGGGTCGGAGGCCATTTTGGTCCCCTCCCCGTTGCTCCTCCTGGTGGTTTTGGGCTCCGGCGATCACTTAGCAGAACGAAGCCACCCCCGTCCCCCCTTTTTTATTGGAAAATACGATATTCTTCTCGGAATATTATGGGTTTTATTTCGGGCGGGGGGGGGGGGGTATTTTCGTAATTTAAGTTCCTATCTAGAAAGAAGAATGCAACTTTTGGGGGAGAAAACCATTACTTTTTGCCTACAGGTATTATTTAATCTATCGGAAAAAAAATAAAACAGACATTTTATGTCTTAACATTCACGTCATATTATGATGTCCTCATCAAAAAGGGAATTTGACTTGGAATGTCACTTCTTATCGAGAAAAAAAATGCATAATCTTAAAAAGAATTGTGATGGAAAATAATGGAGAAATATTCTTGTAAAACTACTCCTCTCGAAAAGTCGACTTCCTGTTTTCCAAATTTTATAACTTTGTATTTCAGGGATACTTCTTTTTAATCCTGATCATCAGCTCAGGTATGTTGTTCTATTATGATTTGCTAGAAATGATGACTTGATTCTCGAGAAACAAGAGTATGACTTATCAAGAAAAAGAAAAACAATCGTTTTCATCTCTACTTTGTAAATGTGTGTGTGTGTGTGTGTGTGTGTGTGTGTGTATTTTTTTTCTCAAAGAATAGGACTTTACCTTTTCAAGTTCACTCTCAAAACAAAAAACTATTCTCATGTTGCGAATTTTTATCGAGAAATACGACTTTATTCTCATTATGTGACATTTTTTGAAGGGAAAATGACTTCCTTTTTCATAATACTATGACTTATCTAAAAACAACACAGTCTTTTCATCAACAGACTTTTTATCTCGAAAAAAAATACAGCTTCGTTCCAGAATTTACATTTTCTAGAGGACACTATTATTGTAATAGAAATTCTTATCTAGAAATGTCACGCTTTATTTATGGAATGTGCAATGTTTTGAGGGGAAAAACATGTCTTCATGTAAAGTTTTTATCATGAAATCGTAAAGCTTCATCCCCAATTTCTTTTTTCTCAGAAAAAAAACCTTTAATTTTCGTAATATGTATATGACTTCATTCTTCTCCACCCCCAAAAAACAGCAACCTTATTCTGGGCACAAAAAAAAAATGCACTTTTTTTTTTTCTTAGTGCAGTGCTGTGCTGTCTCTTGTGGAGTATCACTGGCGCATCAGGAGACGCAACTGACTCGCCAAGTCGGCTAAATGCCGTCGCAGTTGCCAGCGCATTCGCCGATGGCACCGAAGCAGATTAAACCTCAAGATTAAACCTAGCAATCCGACGGTCTCATTGGCCGCTTTCTATGGAGCTCTCTCAACCCCCGAACCCCCACTCGGGCACTTCACCGCCCCCGAGCCTCCGCGGAAGTTCGGGCGCAGCCGCGGTGCGGCGCGGCAAGGACGTGCGTGTTTGCTTTCTTACGCTCTGCCTGCTGCCTGGCTCTCCGCAGAGGCTGCTGCGGATGGACCTGCCCGTGGCCGACGACAACACGGTCCACTTCAACTCCACCCTGATGGCGCTTATCAGGACGGCGCTGGATATCAAGATCGCCAAGGGTACGAGCCCAGAGTCTTTCTTGTTCTTATAATAATAATAATAATAATAATAATAATAATAATACATTTTATTTGAAAGCGCTTTTCATCATACTCAAAGACACTTTACAAGAGCTTAAAACACAGGATAAAAATGTGCACTAAAACAAGCATACATAATTTACAAAAGCACATTTAGATGAACAAAAATGGGCAAAAGAGATTAGAAGGTGTTTAAAAGCATTGCGGAACAGATGAGGTTTAAAAGATGATTTGAAGGATTGGAGGTCAGTACAGTTGCGGATGTGTTGTGGTAGAGCGTTCCAAAGGGTGGGGGCGGCGACAGAGAAGGCTCGGTCCCCCCAGGTTTTGAGCTTGGTCACGGGGATGGCGAGGAGGTTTGTGTTTGAGGAGCGGAGGTTGCGGGAAGGAGTGTACTGGTAAAGAAGGTCGGAGGGGGCCTGATTGTGAAGGGCTTTATAGGTCAGTAGGAGGAGTTTAAATTGAATACGCTGGGGAACGGGGAGCCAGTGGAGGTTTTTAAGAACAGGGGTGATGTGATCACGAGTGTGGGTGAGCAGGCAAGCTGCGGCATTCTGGATGTACAGACGCTCCCCGATTTACGAACATTCGTGTTATGAACAACGGTACATACGAACATTTTTGCGGGTACAGGTATGTCGAAAAATGTTCTCGGACAGAGATGCTGTAAGTTAGATTTTGTATTGCGCGCCTTTTTCCGAGTACTGTATTGCTTCTTTCCGCCGCTAATACCGACGTGAGGCGCTGTGAGAGGAGGAGGAAGAAACGCCTGTCCCCATGAAGAAGTTCGAGACGGAACTCTTGGCCGAGGGGTTTTCGCTCATAGATAAAGCCATCGCACTCTTCGAGCAGCAAGACCCAAATATTGAACGTTGCGCAAAGGTTGTAAATCAAATGAATGATGCCATACAGGGCTACTGCATCATTTATCTCAAAAAAGATGCTTCTCATAAGATGGCATGAGAAACACTTTCCATCTTGACAAAAAACTCATCTCGAAAAAAGATGACTTTTTAATCTAGAAAAAAAGTTTGATTCTCCCACCTTTCAAAATATGATTTAATTCTCATGAAATGACAAGAGTCTAATTTTGGATTCCCAAATCAGTTTTTTGTTTGTTTGTTTTCCTTTTCTGCATCCACACTGGGGGTGGTGGGGAATGATGTCATGGCAGCCTCGAAGAGATCAAATGGTTCCACTTGTTTTGGGTGAACGGTCAACCTCGTGATGCCGTTGTGCCTCCCCCTTGTACTTTCTAAACGTGTACCCTCTACCGCTACATCACTGGAACTCTCACAGGCGGCGCAGACAAGCAGCAAATGGACGCCGAGCTGCGTAAGGAGATGATGGCCATATGGCCAAACCTGTCGCAGAAAACCTTGGACCTGCTGGTCACGCCTCACAAGGGTGAGTTGCACGGAGAACCGTTGCCTTCATATTTGGATGTCCGATCACCCAACTCACCAAGAGGACAGCTTCTGCCAGCCGGTCACTGCTCTGCATCCCCTGATCAGGCTGTGATGCGGGATACATTAAAAAACACACACACACGTTATCATGACCTACAATCAGCAATGATTCAACCAGTTGACTGTCTTGACCTCAAGGTAAATAAAAGATAAAAATCCCAGTGTCATCACCCGGCGAAACCCAGTTGGCTGGGCATGTCTGCCAGAACAGGATGCACTGAAAAGTCTCAACAATTCATGCCTGAAATTGAACTGAAAGTCATCACATTTTGCAGAGGGCATTTGAATCATTACGAGAGGCGGACATGCAAGTCCATGGTATCCACATCAAGCACATTCCATCCTGCCATCAGGGGGTGCCAACTATAGAAGATCCTCTATAGGAGTCTTTTCACGACAGGACGAACCTAGCAGCAGAGAACTCAAGCTTATACGGTCCAACCCCGTTAGAACGTACCTCGAAGGTTAGTTCGTCGTAACCGTTTCCCAAAAAAATGGCTGCCAACTACGGTGTATAGAACACAGTAAGAACAGATGGAAAAACACCAACGCGGACTCCAGCGTAAACGTATCAATTACAAATACGTGTAAATGAGAAGTACAACAATGTACGCACCGGGTCTTAATCAGTAACGCTGCCAAGTAACGGAGGGGAATCCCGCGACACACATTTTGTTCAGAAGCAAGGTCGCGGTGGCAGTTCGCTTCCCGCCGTTCGTCGTACCGACTCTTTCGTGGGACAAACATTCTGGCCGTTATCATGAAGTTTAGGTTCTCAAGGTGTCTGTTTGAAGCAAAATCAGCAAACGGAAAATGAATGACGTCAAATCGGGACTTTGAAATGTGAACGTTATTAAAAACGTTGCAAGCGGGGAACGTTGAAACGAGGTTCGACTGTATGTAGAGTTTTTGCGTCGGAAAGGATGAGCATGAACGATGAGTCCATTTTGAACCTCCGTGCATGTTTCGAATCTGCGGCTTTGATGAATGAATGCATGGAAGGTAGAATCTTTCAAAAGAACGTCATCATATTGCTTCGGTGCGGCAGATTTCGTCGCCGCGCTGCTGTAAAAAGATGTTTTTGTCATTGTAAATGAAAACATGACATCGCGCAACTCTGGCGAGAATCCCCGTCAAGCACTTGGCAATAAATAAATCAATAATTTGCGCTGCCAACCCTAAGGCGTCTGTCTGTTGGGTTTGGCAGTGAGGCAGCTACATTGCCCTTGCTGCTCCCGTGAAATGCACTCGAAGTATGATTCGGTTAGTGACTCCGACACGATTGCAGCAGCGGCATCCGCCTGTGAAAAGACCGACGGCTTCCTCGACAAGTGTACCGTGTTGTTGAAATGTATCCGGATGTTGCATACCGGACGGCGAGCTCACTTGTGTTTTTCTCGACCGGCCACTGACACGAAGACCTGAATCAGGAAGAGGGAATCACGAAACAGAAGTGTCCTCGCTGTCTGGCGCAACATTCTTGTGAACTTGTGTTCCCATGTGTTTGGTCCCACCCCCACCCCATTGCCCCCCAAACCCCACTCAGCGCAGGGTCCCATGTCGCTCGGGTCTAATCTTCCAGGGTAACTTGTCATTTTCTCAGCAGCCACAGACTTGACGGTGGGCAAAATCTACGCTGCCATGATGATCATGGAATACTACCGGCAGAGCAAGACCAAAAAGCTGCAGGCCATGCGGGAGGAACAGGTAGAGCGGATCCCGACGATAGTTCCTCGTCCAGCGCCGCGTTTTCCGGGGCAAGCCTGCGGACGGCTTTGCTTGTTTATTTTTCCTCTGAAGGATCCATGAAATGTCGTGGACCTTTTCGGAGCTATCGCTACATCGTCCAACAGCATCTTGAGAGACTTTGACTGGCATGCTCACCGCGCAAGCTTTGGGCCGTGAACTGATCGCCGTTAGCAACGGCTTTGGGGCTTACAAACAAAGGGCATGACATGGTAGCATGGTGATATTTTGCAAATAGCATCACAATGCAGCTTCTGTTTCTCTGGAGACACCTTGACCCCAAATGCTGATGCTAACCCTCTCAGGCTCCGCTTAGTCCTCGGTACCTCTCCTCGTGTCTGGTCCGCAGACCTGAGACACCCTGCAGGGGATGAGGAGCTCCGAGGGGTCAGGTGGGGCCAGGTCAGTTCAAGATTTGAAAACAAATCATCGGATCTTCAAAAGAACTCTAAAATGAGCCAGTGAAGGGATAGGGTAGGAGTTCTGTGCTCCCTCATACGAGTACCAGTCAAGAGGTGAGCGGCAGCATTCTGGACCAACTGGAGACGCTTCATGGAGGATTGGCTTACTCCAAAGTCAAGTGCATGACAGTAAGACGAGAGCGTTCTAAACCAGCTGCGATTTAAACCTTTTTTTTTTTCTGGGAGGAGGGACAAACCGTTTCACCCACTGTATCTCTCAGCCAATGCGGGCGTTTAGTGAAGGTCCACGGCGTACTCTTGGTCTGCTCCTGAACGCAGCCATTCCGTTGGACCGAGTGGACAGCATTCGTCGTCTCCCTGTTTGTCCCGCCGTCTTTGTGCTCGTCCGGCCTTGCTTTTTGTCTTTGATTTCATGCTCTGTCCTCGCTCTTCTTCCTCTTCTTCTGTTGTCGCTCTGACGTCTCCCTTTATCCCACCACCCACCCTCGCCCAGGATGAGGTGGGGTCTCCTTATTTGGTCAGTCCAGCTCAACGGTTGCTCGATTGTGTGTGTCCTTCAATGTGTTTTGAGTGCTGCCTGGCGTCTGACTGTCAGTCCGTCTGTCCAATGGGATGTTGACCGGTCCCCCCTACAACCCCTCTCAAAAGTCTGATCATTTGGTGGCGGCATACATGGGTTTCTCGCCACTATGTGACGTGCAGTAACTAGCAAGCATTTCATTCAGCCGTTTCCTTTCCCGGCAACGGGCTATGACTTAAACAGCCCGCGGCAAAATCATTTTCATGTCTCTCATACTGTTTCCATGTTTTTCCATGTCAGGTAAGTCGGTCCGAAACTCCCGTCCCACTGGCCCAGCGTTAAGGCTCATTTGCGCTCCCACTGCGTCCGTACCAGCAGGTGCCTCTGAATCCAAATTTTCCTCCGAAAGACATTTTTGATTCATACGGTTTATTTATTGATGATTTTCAGTGGGAGGGGTCCCCGTCCGTCAGCAGTGGCCATAAAATCTCAACCATTCAAACGAGGGTTGAGGTTTCGTATTACGGTTTGGAAACGATACAAGGTTTAAAGTTTCAAGACTGGGTTCGGGTTTGAAGTCTAAACTGGGGTTTCAAACATGACATAGTGTTTGAAACGAGTCAAGGTTCGAGATTCATATATTTAGACAGGGTTAGGGTTGCAAACAAACATTAGGGTTTAAAATTCCACCAGTGTTTCGAAATCGGATTTTCAAACCAGGAACAAAATAAAGCCGGGTTAGCATTTCATGTCAGAGTTTCAAACCAGGTTTTATGATTCAAATTAGGGTTTCAAGCAAGGTTTTGCCTTCTAAATTATGAAATATGGCTTGTGTTAAAAGTTTCAAACAAGGATTAGGGTTTTTATTGAGAGAGTTTGAAGCCAGATGTGGCTTCAGGACAGGGTTATGGTTCTAAATTCGTGTTTGCAGCCTGCGGGAGAGCAGAATGAGGGTGGAAAAAGGTGGGTTAGCGTTTTCAACCTAGCGTTTGGGTTTCAAACGTTTGGCATTCAAAATTGGGGTTCGAAGCCGGTGTCAGGTGTTGAAGTCTGGGTACGGATGTCGTATGTTGAACATAAATGAGCCTTGACATGTCAGAAGGGGCGTGGCCATGTCTCGTTTGCCACCGTGATTCAATCAGCCCACGCAAGGCAAACTTTTAAGTCACTCTGGAAACGTTGAATCCGATGTGTTAAATGTCTCCTCGCACACATCGCTCTCTGATATGTCCGGGCTTTCGCCGAGTCACCTTTTCACGTTTTTCTCGTGTACGACGGGATCTCGACGTTCCCTCATTGATGCGGGTCCGAGGGTGTTTGTTTGGGAAGATTTTCCACTGCACTGCACCTGCTCGCCTTCCGGAGGCGCTCATTGGGCGCCGCGGCCAACCCGGTGCATAAAATCATATCATCGAGAATCCAGATCTTTTTGGAAGTAGACGCTACGTTCACTTCAAAAGTGAAACTGGATCCCGATGATTTGATTTTAGGCAGCCGCTTGACAAAATAAAATGAAGTAAATTCAGCACACCCAATTTTTTTTTAATCCAGTGTAGTTTAGCGTTTCAAGGATGCAAATTCCTGGTTTGTGACAAGTTAGTTTTTTTTGGGGGGGGGGGGGTTGAATAAGGGTTTTTTTTTCCATCAAAGGTTAGGGTCTGGTTTGGGCTATAAATTCGGGTTTGAGGCTTTGGTTAAGTTTTAGGATTTTCAAAAAGAGTTAAGGTATTCAGATTCAGAAAACTTTATTTATCCCCGTGCGGCAATTAGAGTAAATCGGGCCTGAGTTAAGGTTTATCAAACATTTTTTAAAAAATATTTAAAATTGGGGTTTCCAAAAGTTTCAAAGTTTCAATTGAGCCCTCGAAAGCAGGACTCTGGGGATAAATGGGCGTCAAGCCTGTGTTCAGGTCTCAATGAAAAGTTAGGGCTTCAAGGTAGGGTTGTCAAACCTCACTTAGAGATTCACGTTGGGCTTTGAAGCCCGTGTTGAAGCCCATTTTGCTTCAAATGTTTGATGCCGTGTGTGCCAAGTTGCGTGCATGCATTGGAAACGTCTCCCAAGTGAGTTGTGATCCCAGAGGCCCCCCCCCCCCGGGTGCTGTTGATGGCGCCCCGCGTGGGTCCGTGCCGCAAGTGCGCTGCGTGTCTTTGTTGTGTTTGCTGTGATTCCCACGTGTTTCCACCCAAACCCCACCTCTCTGCCATCGGCCCCCTTCCTCCCTTTCCCGATTAAGCCCGCTTGTGGCGTATCTCACACAGAACCGACCGCCGTTAATGTTTCAGCGAATGGAGGCACCGCCGGAGGGCGACGGCGCCAACAGGCTCGGTGGGCCTGACCTCAACAGCTTCCCCGGCACTCAGCCCGACAACAGCGTGTGAGTACTCGGGCAACTCATTGTGTGGCTCATGTCAGCTGCGATTTGGGCCGGTTCAACGACGCGAGTCATCACGCGACTTGATTATCGACTCATTCAACTCATCAGGCGGACATGTCGGTTGATTCCCGGATGATTCGAATTGGCGAGCGGTTATATACATTCGGGTTTTGATTCGATTTAGTTTCTTGAATCAAAATTAATTTTCCAATTAGAAATCTTTTTTTTTTTCCACCGCTAAACGTCCATTGAGAATGGACTGCTTCAACTCATGGAGTGGTCATGTGCCGCCACAGACCTTCGGACGGCGGCGGTATGACGGAGAGCCAGTCGTGGGTGACCGCCAAAGCCCAGGAGATGTTCCAAAAGACGGGCAACTGGAGCCCCGACCGGCCGTACCCTGACGACTTCCATGACAACCGGAACAACCCGCAGGTATGGCGAGCGCAACGCATATATCTATTTGGGCGGGTTTTATCCGGATACGTTTGTTTTTCATCATGGAGCAACTTCCCGTCTCCTCGTCTTTTTCCAAATTGTTCCTGTAATGTCGCAGTTGATTTGTGCCTCTTTGGTGTCGATGAAACGAGCCGCCCCTCCCCACCCTACTATGGCCATAGCGCCATATGACCCCCCGCCCCTTCCTGCGAGCCGGGCGGACAGTGGTCACGCCTCCTCTCGTTGTGTCCTTGCAGACGGTAGAGATGCGGGAGATGGGGCGGGACGGGTACTCGGACACCGAGCCCTGCCACCCAGTGGATGGGCACGGGCGCACCCTCTCCATGCCCCGCCTCTCAGCAGACAACCAAGTGAGCACCTCCATCAACCCCCAAACAACCTCACTCCCTCCCTCCATCCATCGCCAGTGCCCACCGCCATCCCTTGCCCCGCATGTGACTGCAATTCATTTGTCTCTGAAAATTGATGAGGTTTTACCAACGGGTATCTGGAACGCACTGAAAAGAAGACACGAGAACAGTTCACGCCTTTTTTGAGGGGGTTTTGGTCATGTGACATTGGCAATGCAAGCATGAGGGCACTTTGACATCAATTTCAGTCAATGGCAGGGTGGTGCATAAACTGTCAGCTTCCTTGGATGGGTGAAAACATCAACGCAATATTAATCAGGATACTCTTTTTAGACTGGCATGGGCACATACAACATTTTACTGTCAGGACAATTTTTGACTGGAGTTCTGCTTTAATATTACGAGAATAAAGTTGAAAACAAGTCTTACCTTGAAGGAAAAAAGTACATTTTGAGGATAAACTTTCCAATCCTGATGATAGTTGTATTTTTTTGTAATTTTAGGCTTAAAAAAAGTTTTGTATCATACATTTCATGAGATTAAAGGCAAGGCGAAGCAACTTTATTCACGTAGCGCATTTCATACAAAGGTAACTCAATGTACTTCACAAAACATTTAAAGGCAAATTTAGAAGACATTTAAAAGCAAAGTAGAGAGACAGAAAAAGTACTTGCTTAAAGAACATAGAGCCTATGGTTTTGGAAAAATTGATTGTAGAAATGCTCTAAAAGTCCATCATAGCGATGGGGGGCTTAATTTTTAACCTGGATTTAAAAGCATTTACACTTGTGGCTAACTTCACTTCTGTTAGCAGCTTATTTCTTTTTGCCTTTTTGCACGGCATCATAACAGCTAAATGCTTCTGCACCATGTTGGGCCGGGTCGTAAAATGATCCAATGCAATTCAATGCATTTTTATTTCTTTCGCGACGGCTGCAGAGCTTTCCGGAACATTGAACACAAAATAACAAAGGATACATTCAACGGAGCGCAGCAAGCTAAAACATGGACAATAATACAGTCCTTGAGAGGAACAAAAAAAAGTGATATTTATTGATAAAGTATAAAACGTCACAATCTTTTTCAGTGTGGCCCAAATACTTTTTGAGAGACTTGAAATTTACTTGGTTCTCTCCGCTCTCATTCTCACCCACCACAGAAGCCCCGCCCCCTGACCCCAAACACACACACCCCCTTTCACACATCTACACGCCGTTTCCCTTTACTGCCACATCAGAGCTGTGATGCCCGAGCCTCGTCTCAAGACCAGGTGAAGCAGCATGCGGCTCATGGTTGTCGCTATTGGTCCGGTACGCTCCACGGCAAACTCAACAATTGAATGTTTTCCGATCAGGGGACGTCTACCGTTAACGGCGATCTGTCAAACTCATTTTTGTCACATGTCACTTTGGAGTGACGTATTCTCGCGAAGGGCCGTCAAGACAGAGACAGCAAATAAACCTTTCATTGCTTCATCGCGCTTTGACGAGTTGGCAACAAATTGACGGATTACCAGTTTGAAGTCAACCATAATAGTTTGATCCGTTATTGTTCGGGTGAGTGTCAACATGGTAACAAAGCTGTTTAATCTCAGCGTTATTGATAATACATGACGATTTGACATATCAGTCTCGATTTTAGCAAGGATCGCGCGAGTTGACACGCACCATTTGCTTTCGTGGGCCCCAAACAAAAGACGTGGCGAGCCAGATCTAGCCCCCGGGCCTTGGGTTGACACCGGCGGCCTATTTGATTTCACTTTACAACATTCATGTTGTAATGTGTTCATTTCTGTTAAGTCTTTTTTTTTTTTTTCAATAAATAAATATCAGCCACTTCAATGGGCTCCGTAATTTATAAAATGTCAGTAATCTGTTTGCGATGACGAAGTGGCGACTAACTGGAAAGGATTGGAAGGGGCACAAACAGATTTTTTAATTCTTTTCTCTTCTGCCGTCATTTCCCGCTTCACTTTTCCGCCTCATTCCCACCTGATCCTTGGTGTGTCTGTCCCGTGCGCAATAGAAAAGGCGACGTCCAGTCCTGTGTGTTGCTTTCCTTTTTTTGTGTGTTTTCTTGCCTCTTTCCCACGCTGACCGCCAAACCGCTTTGCTTGTGCGGCTCTTTGTACGCTTTGCAGCGGAGAAGACACGGGCCTCGCGGAAATAACCTGAGTGTATGGCCTCTCGCAGGCTCTAACGTTGCGATTGTTGGACGCGAGGCGTCAGCTGGTGCGTGCACGCCGTCGTTGTTTGGGCTTGGAACTGCAGCAGGGCAGGACTACCCACTGTTTTTTTTTCCATCAGTATTTTTCGCTTTCAATTTTTGGGCTTTTTATTTGAAGGGGGGGGTGTCACCAACTCTGGTTCTCGAGGGCCCCTGTCCTGTATGTTATCGATGTTTTCCCGCCTCCAGCGCCCCTGATTCAAATGCTCAGCTCTGCAGAAGCCTGCTGACGATACTGGTCCTTTTTTTATTTTATTTTTTTTGAGGAGGGAAACATCAAAAACAGGCAGCATAGAGGCCCTCAAGGACTCATTTTGTTCATTTCCTCGATTCAATAATCATACCTTCATTTGATTTGATTTTTCTTGTACCAGATGTTTATTTTGCTTTTATTTAATTTATTTTTATTTCATTGTGTTTTTTTATTTGACTTTACATTTTGGGGGTTATCTGATTTTGTTAAGTTTTGTTCAATGTGAATGTCTTTTTTGAAATGTATTTATTGTATCTTGATTATTTATATTATTTATATAGAATTTGTTTTGGTATTTTATTTACTTTTGCTTTTCTTTTTTTTAACTTATTATCTTTTGTTGTGTAGTATTTCCTGTGTATTTGGCAAGTGTTATCAGATTTTTTTTACTTTTATAATTCCTTTACCTTTTGTTATATTTTATGTCAAAATACATTTTAATTTGAGTATTATTCATTTAATGTTGATTTTTTTTTATTTTTTGATGTTTCCGATTTGCAAAGAGCTACGGTGAAATGTTTTTTTCGGAGCCGCATGGGTGCGCCAGCCGATGCTCGACTCTTCCGGTCGGGTTGGCACACGCCCATCTGGTTCATCAGATCACTGAACCCTTTCGCCCTAATCTGGTGCCAGTTGTGGTTCGCCGCAAGAAAAGGCTTCAAGTGAGGTTCGGGGTTCCAAGTCAGTGTGTTGAAAGCCTGGGTTAAGTTGGGGTTTCAAACAAAGGGGTAAGGTTTTGAAGGAGTGTCTTCTGCCAAGGTTGGCGTTTTCAGATTTCAAGCCCAGGTTTGGGTTTCAACGAAGGCTTTCAAGCATCGATTAAGGTTTCAAATTAGGATAGGTTAAAATTTAATCCTGGGTTAGTGGTTCAAATAAGGGTCTCAACGCTTGGGTTCAGGTTTTAAAAGGAGAGCTTGTTTTAAAATTTGGGGAAGATTCCAAGGTTGAGGGTCCCCAAATCAAGGTTTGAAGCTTGGGCTAAGCTTTCAAATTAGGGTTGAAAGCCTGGGTTTGGAGTTAGGGATTCAAGCTAGGTCAAGGTCTCAACGTCGGCATTTGAAGCCCGATTTAGTGTTCGCTCAGACAAGGAGTGGAGCCTCACATTTCTTTAGTTTGAAGCCTTGGGTAAGGTTTTAGATGTTTTAAGCGTGGATCTGGGGTTTCATGCTGAGTTGGAGCTGGGCTTCTTTCATGTTTTCATCACCTGGACCTGACAAAACTGGAATCAGAATAGCAGCAACAGCTTACTCAATACATCGGTGGCCTGAAGCGTTTTCCCATTTTACGACCTAGGAACAAGACCGCGGTGTCTGGACCATATGTGGGTGATATGATGACACACCGTAGCTCAGGATTGACCAAACTGAGCCCTGGTACCCAACCAGTACTGGCACCAGCTCAGTGGAAAAGGACATGGAAGAAGGTCAACGATCCAGACTCCCGGCAGCATCTCATCTCCTGTTTGTCTGTGCTCCTCTCCCTCATCGGCGACCGTGTCCCGGGTCTCTCAGAACATCGCCGACACCAGTCCCATGAGGCGCTCCACCTCCAGCCTGGTTCACGGGCGCTCGGGCCGAGGCGTCAGGCTGGACGACTACTCCCTCGAGAGGGTGGTGTCCGAGGAGGGGCGGCACGGCGGCGGGGGCCGCCGGCACCGGGACCGAAGCCACCAGACTTCGCAGCGATCCCTCACCAGATACACAGACGCAGACACGGGTGAGTTGCCACCTAAAAGCTTTGGTCCACTCTTGGCATCCCGGACCCGAGAAAGATGGAAGTCCATGTGGGTCTCCGGTGGCTTTGTTGTCTGTACGAACCGTTTGTTTCCACTGCCCATACAGGCCTGGGCACAGACCTGAGCACCACCACGCAGTCGGGCGACCTACCTCCCAAGGAGCGTGAGCGGGACCGGGGCAGGACCAAGGACCGGCGCCACCACCATCACCACCACCATCACCACGGTTCCGTGGACAAAGAGCGCTACGACCGACACGACCTAGCCCACCGACACTCGCACGACAGTCACTGGTCACGCTCACCCAGCGAAGGCCCGGACGGACGAAGCCACAGACAGGTGAGTCACAGGATTGGATCCGATCCGGGGGTCGCGCTCTTCATTTTCATCGCTAATGAATAACTTAACACGGATGCACTGGTATGACTCGCGGGTTTGCCACACAATTTCTCCCCCGTGAGGGGTCACCGGGCAAAAGAATTTGAGAGCCCCTGTTGCTTCTGTGCCCTGCAATTGACGAGTGACCGTCTCCGGGGTGTAACCTGCCAACTGCCCAAAAGTCAGCTGAGTTAGGCTCCATCTCACCTGCTACCCCAAAGAGGATAAGCGCTCGAGCAAATAGACGTACGGATGGAATTGCTGACGTTGGTGCGGTGATCAGTGGTCTTGCTTTGAGCTGTCTCCCCCAAGTTACTGCACCCACTTCTGGAGGTCTATTTCTCTCTTTGCTTTTTTCGCTCGTTCTCTCTGCCCATTTCCCTTTTTGTTTTGGGGTGACTTCTTTGCCTCATGACTGCTTTTGACCAATCGACCGACCGATCCGCCGCGCCGACTGCGCTCTCCTCCCCTCCTCCCTCTCCACTCTGGTCTCTGTTCTCGTCGTGATTTTCCTTGTTTACATTTCTGCTGCAGGGCAGTAGTTCGGTGAGCGGCAGCCCCGTCCCCTCGACCTCGGGGACCAGCACTCCGCGGAGAGGCCGTCGCCAGCTGCCACAGATGGGCCGGGCCGCCTGCGCTCGCCGTCCCCGCGGCACTTCTCCCCGCCGGACCACGACAGGGGCTACCACCACCGGCCGCCGTCCCGTCAAGCCTCTCCCCACCATGGGGGCTCCTCGTCCAGGCACGGGTCGCCCCGATCCCCCAGGCACCAGTCCCCCCGCTCGCCCGTTCACGGTTCGCCGCGCTCCCCGCACCGAGGCCGTTGGAGCGGACCTCCGCTGGGGGACAGTCTGGAAGGGGACGGGTCCTTCTACGAACGCGACTACGAGTACAAGCGGCACCACGAGCCCCCGGCGTATGAGCAAAGCCTCTCCCACGGCAACCCCCACCCGCACGCGGGCAATCCCCACCCGCACCCCCGCTCGCCCAGGACTGCCCGCCACGGGCCCCCACCTCCGCCGCTCCCTCACCCCCATCCGCGCCGGGTGCCCAACGGCTACCGCTCGTCCTCGCCTTCTCCGCATCGAAGAGGGCCGCCCGGGGCACCCCACCCGCACCACCGGACCCCTCATGCCCGCGGACCCCGCAAAGGCTTGCATGAACCTTACAGCGAGACAGATGAGGACGACTGGTGCTAGCAACCGGATGAGGGCGGAGAACGGCAACCTCCGGCGTTATGGCCTCGTGTATGTGAACTTGATGGGGGCGGGGCGGAGGGTCCGGACATCCGCCCGAGGACCAACCCAGCCTTCAGCCCCGGAACTCTGTGAGTGAGAGTGCGGGGCAGAGACCAAGGGGGCAAGGTGCTTCAAGCGGTCTGACGAAACGCGAGACGGCTCAGGACAGTGGGACCGCGCTCCCCAGAATCCTCTGCTGGGATGCCGAGCTGCAGGCAGAAAACTTCCATCAGGGGTCCTGACGAACGGTCAGGGGTTCTGAGACCCAGACTGCTCATCGCGTTTGGCTGAATCCTTCTTCTTCTTCTTCTTCAGGTGACTCTGGGAACTCTCCAAGCGGGCTTCACTCACCTTTTATAAGGAACACGAGTTCCTAAAAAGCCAGGCCCTTTTCCCTCACCCCAACCAGACCTTTCCATGCCAAGCTTTGCCTCCAGGAAAAATCACGCTCAAGAACAAAACTTTTACACCACGTGATGTTGAGCGCTCCCACCCCCACAAGGACAGAACCAGGAAGCTCCGCCTCTTCTGCAAAAACCAGCCAATCCCAGCGCTGGAGGATATTTGATGAGTTTTATCATCTCTGTTTACTGTTCACTGTACAGACTCTCTTTGCGTGGGTATGATGTCACTTCCTGTCTGGTGATGGGGGGGACAGGAAGTGACATCACGTGGCAGAAAGGGCGGAGAAGAGTAAAGCAAGGACCAACTCATTTCTTCAGTATTTCTTCTCTCGATTGCTTCTCGTTCTTCTTCTTGGACATTGGAAGCTCGATTCTTCGATTTGACCTTTTTTGGGATGGAAACGTGTGCATGATTGATTCAACCCATACGGGAGAGGAAGCCGAACCCCACATTTTTGGGACCTTGGGGGTCGGCGGGGCTTTACGGTAACTTTGCATTTACGTTGACAAAAAAAAAAAGAAGACAAGAATCTCTCTTCTCTCTTCGACTGTTTCTCTCTGTGACGCTCGCTCGGCACCTGGAAGGAAAGCAGCCTTTGTGCTCGGATGTTTAGTTGGATGGGTCTCGGATGTTGGAGGCTTTGCTCAGAGAGAGAGAGAGAGGGAGCAGAGGGGAAGTGAACTTGGAGCGCCCGTTATTTAGTGTTGTTCATGATGATAGTCTCGATAAAAATGTCCATGCAGAATGAAAACGATGTTGATGATTGTTAGCGCCGTTGCCGTAGAGTTGTTGTCACCTTCTTTGTTATCCCTCCAAGTACACCAAGTCCATCTTGTTTACATCCTTGAAGTCAGGGCTGTCCAAACCTTGTCTTCCGAGGGCCGTATACAGAAAAATCCAAGGCTGCACGGAGCCACTCTGACATTCTTCCCATCTCATTTAGCGAACCCGTCCAAAGTACTCCCATCAGCGTTGGTAGGTATGCGGAAAAACACGAGAATCAATCCACCGCAGTACCGAGCAGCAGCACTTTATGCGTTCGGTAGAAAGTGAGGCCAACGATCGGAATTCATCGCTGTCAGCGGTTGATCTTTATTTCTCGGGGCATTGTGACTTGGCGTTTTTTTCTTATTTTAGTGACGTGTGATTGGTGGGAAATGTTGTGTGAGAGATGCCAGTCAGTGTCATCATCGAAGTTTTACAATGCAGGCAAACAACAATTGTGAATGGACGCTGGGTCGCAAATGGCCCCCGGGGTCATAGTTTGGACAGCCCTGCCTTACGCTGACGATCCCGGCTCCCACGTTTCAGGCTGGTTCGCGGCGGGGGGGCAGGGACTTCATTTAGTTCTTGTCCTACCGACACCCTAGGACAAAAACGGTTGTAAAAGGTTTTGGGTGATGAGGTGGGCGGCCCTCTTTTTTGTCGTCGCCTTGTCGGTGAACTGAGCAGCACGACTGCTCAATTTAGGACTTCGCTTTGGACCCTTCCACCCTGTAAGGACACTTCTGGTCCCCTCCGCACCAACAGTGACCTCCTCAGCCCGAGCCCTCCCCTCAGGTCTGGACTAGATACCAGGAACCATGCGAGGTTGTAGCACAGCCGAATCCCCCTCTGCCAAAAACTGGCATCAGTATTCGACAGCCTTTGCGGCCACATTCAGACGGACACTGGACATGGTGTGAACCCGTTGCCCTTCTTTTGGTCCTGCTTTCGATAGAATCTTCTAGAACTAGATGATCAACAACGATAGGTATTCTGAGTTTAGGTATAACTGTAGCCGTAGTTCTCACTAGCTTTTTGAATTGGTTGCCGCTCTTGGACTTGCACTCTTACTAATCCCAGATCTCCCCGAAACCCGTAGTCCACGACGTTTTGACTCTATGCAGATCTCACGAGCGTCCGTCCGGTTTCTGCAGGAACCGCGAGACCCGGATCCCTGACAAAAGCCCAACAAACGGGTGACAGTTGGCACCCACTTGCACATTTATCTGCTGCGAGACCCCCTGCCTGCATCTGTTGCCTCCCACTTTCCCGGCACGATACGTGTTGGCCTCCGAGGCCTCCAAGTAGAGCACAGACTTGCTAGATATTTGCCTCTGTTTGGCAGGAAGTGAAAGGGGCAGGGCACAACCTGGAACCCTGTCCGCAGTTACTTCCCCCGCAATCCTGGACCCTGACAGAGCCGCAGTGCCTTCTGTACCTGAGTCACATGAGTCATCTGCCACCCAAGCCCTCCCGGCCCCCTCCTGCCCGTTATATTCCTTAAGATCAATAACACTACGCCTTAAATGTCCCGCCGGTGGTCCTAACACCGGGCCCACACATGACTTTTACTTTGACTTTATTGTTAAAACATGACAACTCTTTTTAAAATCTAAAACGAGATTGTTTTTTTCCCGCAACTTTTCAATTGTGATGGCATTTAGGGGCACACATGGCACAGCGATACCTTGACTTAAGAATTTAACATGTTCTGTGACTGAGGTCCAAACTCAGTTTGTTTGTATCTCGATTTGCAAGTCGGTCGCCGAATGCCCGCTGCGAATCTCAACCCTGCTCTTACTTCAAATTTTGTCTCGAAACACTGCAGAGGTGATTCAAGTAGTCAATACCTATTGGTCCCCCTCAACACACACACATCAATGAACTCTGGGGGAACAAAAGATACTTCTATGATGATTAACAACCTTATGATGGAAATTCTTCCTGGCAAGCAAAGGGCGGCAGAAAAAATACACAAACAAAAACTTTTTATGATGATTATTAGTATTATTTATTCAGATGAACCGTTTACAGTTCGTTGAAAGTGCAATATGTTACCCATCCCTGGTCTGGAGAATCGCTACTACTGTTTTTTTCTGCAAACTGCATTCCGTACAACACCTGGGCTCTTTTGAAAGGTATTCACGTCGGCATAGCACTCCTTTGTATCTTTAGCCTTGGACTTGTGTTTGCCCTTACATGTAAACAGAAAGATAAAGGCATTGTCCCTTTGCCAGTTTGGACCATTTGTGTACCTTTTCTAACCATACCAAGTACTTGTTTGTACCTCCAGGTTCAACAGTGGACCCTGTTGGGTACGTCACAAGAAGTGGCACCTTGGAGAACAAAAACGAACCTCGACAGAACCCTTTTTTGTCTGACCGTGTACTTAAGCTTTCTTTCAAAGTCAAGGTAACACTGTGCTGAAGTTCTTGTCTAGTTAGTGTTCAGATTTTGTGGCGGCTAATGGATCCGAGATGTGTGAAAAGCTCACTTCCTTCGTTGTTTGCGTCGCGGCTGTTGGGTTTGGCGCGTGTGGCGTTGCGGGTCGGCAGCGTGTGGACAAACATGTAACTCAAGGGCTCTTTGCAAAACATCATGCGGGTTTTCTTGTACAGTTTGAGTTCTGCCAAAAGTCGTGCTTATGTAGCTCAAGCCACACAATGTGCAGCACTAGCTGTGTGCATGCGTGTGCGTGTTGGGGAAGGGCGGGGTTATTGGGGCCAGTGGGCACGGAAGGTAGGCGTCCCGTGTACCGTCTTGGGGGCGGCGGATGTTTAGAAGGGCATTAGGGCAGCAATCAGCAGTAATTTTCCATAAAAGGCACTGGGCCGCCATATCACCTCATGCTATGATGTCATCACGAGCGCCTGACAGATTAATTGTCCAGCCGATTTAATCGATATTTGCATTTTTTTTTTTAATTGGCAAAAATCAGCTGATTTTATTTGGTCACGGTTTTTACCTTTTTATTTTTTCCACGTCCAATAACCAATAAACCAAAAAAAATCTGCATTTCATTGGCCGATTTTTGCCATTTTTTTCCCCTCTCTTTTGTCATTTTTAACCAATCCTAAACGACAAAGTATTGTCAAACAGTCATTTGTTCCACCTGTAATTCATACCTTTGTTGTTGTAAGCGTCAAGGGACCAAAATATGTTATTTTAGTCATTGTATATATTAGAAATTAATCGGACAATGAATCGGCTCTCGGAGTTTGACAAGTATCGGCATCGTTATCGACAAATCCAAATCAGTCAGGCCCTAATCATCATCACCACAGTGGTGTCATCACATCATGGCGTTATCACTACTGTATGTCAACACGTCTCAACCACATGGAGGAATTCACTTTGTGTGTATGCACGCACCTGTGTGTGTGTGTTACAGTAATATTTGAGTAGCTGTTTGCTGTGATAGATATGTTATTTGAAATGAACAGATATGTAGAAATAATCAATTAAAAAATAGATTAAAATAATTTTGAGCCTGCTGATGGTGCAGTGAAGACAGTACTGAAAAGCAGAATGCAAGCGCACTGAAGTACTTAAGTCATTTTTACCATTGCAGTATTATCAAAAGGACGTAGCTAGTTTATTTTTATGTTCTATTAGTTATTGGGAAAAGTATTTTTTACGTTATCTTCAATTAATTTTTAAATATAAGCATTGACGTATTTTTTTTTATTAGTCATAAATATAAATGTTATCATCGATGTATTTGTGAACTTATTGAATCCGTTTTTCATTTCAATTTTTTTTCTCCAAATAGCCCAACATGAAAGCAGTTACTGTTTGTGGCCTTTAATGGTGATTATAGGCACTTAAAAACGACGCACTTTGATGACTTTCAACGGTTGCGCAAGTGGATGTGTGTGCGTGTGTCTCCCTGTGTCCGTCCTCCACTCACCTCTCGCCCCCGCCCCGCCCCTCTCCTCTCTCCGTTGTCCACGTCGACTCTGTAAATTTTCATGTACGCTTTGAAGCATAAAGTTATGTCAGTGGAGATCAATGACATCTGCCTGTCCTCGTCTTGTCTCTCATCAAACTTTAAATAAATAAATAAATAAATAAATAAATACAAAATCACATGCATGCAGTACCCATCAAGGCCACACGGAGGTGGTCTTTACCTGCCGCGATGTAACGAGGCTTTCATTTTAAGATGACACGATGGCAAATTACGAATTTCACCCTCCTCAAAAGAGTCCACGTTTCGCCGTACAAACAAACAATACAAGTTAGTTTTGGAGATTTTTTATTTATTTTTTTTTTTTTTAGGATTTTGTTGTGATACTTACATTTGAGTTCGAGTGCAAGATGACAACAAAATGACGTGTTGTAAAACACCAAAAACACCGGCTTCTGAGCAAAAAGAGGAGAAAGCAATCCTTTTATGAAAAAAACATGCTAGCAGTCGGCGCGTGGCTGAAGTTGAACATGAGTAGATTTTTTTTACATGCCGTTTGTCATTGACTCCACAAATTGTTTTTCATGAAACACTTTTTTTGCAAAGCATTTTGATAAGCGTCAATTACACGCACATTTTAGGTATTTGCGGCCGGTCCGGTTCCAGTCAGGATTCTTGTATAATGTGCCATGTATATTCTGAAACAAACAAGAGAGAATGAATAATTATACCTCCCCACCCCTTAAAATGTATGTTATTCCAAAAAAAATAAATAAATAAACATTTGACTTTATAGATTTTTAAATTGAGTTAGCTTTGAATTTGAAACGGGTCAATTTGACACACGCCACAACAGCAGGGCAGATTTTTTTTAATGGGGTGTTTAAATGCAAAAATTGGTCAGTTTGACCCAGAGCAACACAAAAAATTAGGGCTAAGGTTGACTGAATTTCAGGTTTGAAGTTCAAAGGCAAGAAAGTACTTGCATCCATCCATCCATCCATCCATCCTGCCTTGTTTCCATCCACCCTGCCTTCCATTCCAGCCACCATGGCAACTACTGGACTCAGTAGAACCCAAGCCAGTGCCAAAATAGAAACTCACTCGTCAAGTTGGGGATTCCAAAAAGACTAAATGAAGCTTACATGGTAATTTGAAGCGAAATAAAGATCGTTATTTAATTAATTACAGATTTTGCATGTGCAACGTGCATGCCACTATGTGGGGTAAACTTCAGGAATTGCAAAAAAAAAAAAAAGAAATACGATGTGTGTGTTATATATACATGTTTTTAAAAGCAATGTGTTTCTTTATTTCCTTCTATTTTTAAAATTAAAAAAATTTCAACTGCGCCAAAAAAAACATTGAAAATATTTTTTAAAATTGACCAAAAAAATCCTCAGAAAAAAAATAGAAAGTGACTACAAAAAAACAGACATTGGTGATGAGTTCAAAGAATCTTTGTTATTTCATGCGAGGGAACAACCAGAACACTTGAACAATAAACAAAATTTGAAGCGTATGCAGCTGCTTGAACTTGAATCTGGTGATGTTTTGTTTCCGACTGAAGAAATCCCATCTTCTTCTTCTTCTTCTCTCCTCCTTTTCTCCCAGGCTTTGTCTCTCTCTGTCTGTTTTTTCTTGCCCGCCATCTTTTCTCTTTGGTTTCTGGATCTTCTCTGCTGTTTCTACCTGCAGTGCATTTTGTAATTTCCAAACACAATTCTTCCTCATGTGGCTGAATAAAACCAGAGAGAATGCATTGTACCAGCCCCGCCTCTGCTCTCCTGCTTCTTGGTGTGCTCAGATAACGCGACTCAATTCATACAAAACTCATTTGTGTATATATGCAAAATAGAATTCGGAGACCTCCGCCAAGGCAGAATGTGGACCTTTGTAGATACAAGTCTCATGCCTGAATTTGGGGGGAAAAGATAAAGAGGAAAAAAAAACGAATCACCAAAAAGCCAGTTTCACTCTTCAAAATATATATATTTTTTTATAAGTAGACCCACAAAAAAAAGAAGTTTCTCCACCTGAAAACACAGAGAAAGTCTACTCTTTTGCCCGAAAATGGATTTTGTGAAACTGTTGTAGTTGTGGTCAAATGAGCTGTTGTGTGCAAAATACGCCAAAGGGATGCATCGTGTGTTCGCAAAAACTAAAACGTCCTCACACTGCAGCATCATTCGCCTCATCTTCTTCCTCCTCATCTGCGTCCGACGCTACGTCACTGATATGTTCCAAGCGACGAGACGCACACTTTACACCCACCGACGCAGTCTCGCCCCCTCCCTCCTCCGTCACGTTTTACTGGCGTTTCTTCTTCCCTCTGCAGTCCCCCTCCTCCTCCTTCTCACATCTGTCTGTTCGACGTCCACCTCCTCAAACACACACACACACAGCCCAAAATAAACACCTCCTACACATTCTGTTGCAACAGCGCATCACTTCCTGTCTCGGTCTGCCACACAAACACACACAGTTGCCCGTTCACATTCATTGTTAGTCAACACTCGGCTATTAGTACAAGCACACGTACACGCGCACAAGCGCGCGCGCGCACTGATGGTGATACTTCCTCCCCCCTCAAGGCAAACGACTCACTTCCTGTGCATCAAATGTCCTCTCACCATCCACTTCATGGGTTACACTCCCTCAAATGAGATACAAAGGCAAAACAGAGTTCGTGGACGGCGGGATAAGAAGCCGCCTTTCGAAAAAAATGCCTATTTTCTTTTAAAAAAAATTGTAATAATAATGTCAGTTGAGGGATTCGTTGTTTTTAATGGATGGTTGTACTTTACAAAGGCAAAAGGAGAGACTGATTCTGTTTGAACGCAGCTTTATTGAAAGGAGAAAAAAAGAATGTCTGCACGCAGCACGATCGAGAGCACACTCCTCGTAACTAAAATCACTTCCGGCTTCACTTACCTCAACAGCCAATCAGAACCAATCCACATAAAAATATGTCTAAGCAATTATTAAAAACAGAATGTAATTTAGGTATTCTTAACATGAAATAATATGACGCTCAGACATAAAATGATAATAATTAATAATATAACGTAAGCTTACAATAATAATAATTGAACCTCCACTTCTGAATGTCTCTTTTTACGAACGATTTGAGTTACGCTCTGTTAACCCTTTCACGCACCCTGTAACCTGATAACATGATAAAATGTCCACTGGAGTCACCGCCGTCCCTGAAAGGGTTAACAGTGAATCTTCGCAGTGGTCTTCGCGTGCACCAGAAATATAGACAAAAATGATAAACAGGGGCCCTCGGCGCCGTCTTCCTCATCGAACAGAACCGAGTTGATTTGTTTTCGGCGTTCGTTTGAGACGAACCGAAAGATGCATTTCCGGTCTGGCCACTTTCGGTTAGTGCTTCACAATAAAAGCTTATTTTGCATCTGTTGATGGAAATTGCACTTCCACCTTCTTGATCACAAATCACAACTCTCGTAGCCTTTGAGTTTGGGAATAGTGTTGTAAAAGAGATCTGAAAAGCATTTAATTTATGTAAAAATTCGGATATCGAATCGACCGTCTGTATGTTGTTTATTGAAATGTAGCGTCGCTTTAAATAAGACAACAAGTGGTTAATGTCAGTGTAATTAGGTCCAAAAAGCCCGCTCACGTATGTTGTTGCAAAGTGGAAGTTCCAGTGATGTGCAATACTGCACCCTGCAAGCTGGTGATTATATGAGCGAGGCAATTAAAAACACTTCTCACACGATAATGAGACATCACGTCATATTTTTTTAAAATTAGAAAGTAGCATAAAAAAGTTTCCTACCACTGAAAAATGTTTCAAATGTACTCAATTTGATTTCATCAAGTGGTTGCACGAAATAAAATGATCTGGATCTAGATATTATTTTAAGTACAATAAATGGATCCAGATTTTATTTGAGCTTAATCTGCCTATCAGATTTTTTTTCAGTGTGGATCCAAGTTTTCCACAATCAACCAATGAATTACAAAAGACACAGACATAATGACAGAAAAAAATATTTTTTTAAATTAAATTTTAATACTTGAATCAGAATTTCCCCATGTGAATATAGAAGAAGACTATTTTTTTATTGGGGAAGCTGCAGTCCTCCCATTTTCCCCTCCCCAGGTAAAGTTAATGAGCAATAAATAGCATGTTTTGTCATATGGCATGCTTTGTCAAATTGCATGTTTTGTTTTGTTTCTTTCATTATCTATTCTTACCCACACGCTTGTAAATAATAAAATAATAAATACATTAAAAAACACACTGATGGGTAAGTGTATATGACTTGGCTAGAAGTGATTAATTGCATTGCCATTCATTTCAATGGGAAGCACTACTTTGACTTATGACATTTCAGGTTACAAACGGGTTTACGGAACCAATTACATTTGTAACTTGAGACTCCACTCTAATTCGAAAATCAGCAGAATATGTACACAAGAAGTACGTCCAAGTAAACACATTTGAATGGTAAATAAATCCTGCAATATAAAACCAAATGTGCAATCTTCAAAGAGGGTATCTAACCCCCCCCCCCAGCCACCCCGCAAAGTGGGAGAAGATGCCCCCTATCCCACCAAGTCATTTTTTGTGTGTGTATTTTAGCTGCATCTTTGTTATTTGTAATACAAACAACATCCAGGGTTGATTTTTGGTTCAGCAGCAAGATGACGTCATATGTTTTTCCACAGGTCAGAATGTTCCACACCGGTTCATTTCCTTTAGTCATACATGTTCGAGCCGCCTCGACTTCCGCTTCCTTCCATCCCGCTGTTCTATTTTTAAGCCTCCGCTGGACGTCACTGCAGCGCTCCGTGTGCATGTGTGTGCGCGCTTTTGGCATCTGCATCACAGGACACTCTTAGCATGCGCAGCACATCTGGGCGAAGAACAAATCAAATGGTTTTCCTTCCGATGGCCAGATATTCTGAAGTTAATTGTGCTCAAAAGTAATATATTCATTCATTCCCAACCATCTAGTGTCTTCATTTCACAGTCTCTTGTCTGCCCAGCTTCCAGACGTGTCTGAATAGATTTCGTCCAATCAGATTTCAGCTTCGAATGTGTTGCCAAGTAAACATGATCTGCTTGCTTCTG